AAATGTGTGAAATAAATACATAGGAAACAGATTATATTGAAGTACAGTTTTCAAAATTTTTTTTGAGGTACGAAAGGTTCCACGTTAAGAACCAGTCCAATCTCATCACTTTACAAATGAGGAAAATGAGGTTCCAAGAGGGGAAAGGACTTAGTCCAGATCGCATGTGAAATGACAGTCAGGATTCGAACCCAAGTCTTCCGACCCCAAATCTAGTGCTATTTAGACTGCACAGTGTGTGGATCATGTCCAGTGGACAGTAAACACGACAGGGTTAGAGTTCTAACCTTAAGAGCACTTGTAGCTTTTCAAAGCTGGAACCAACCCAGGCTGTCCTATTACGATGTCCAAAAGAAAATCAGAGAGGAAAAGGGACCCGCACAAAGGCCAGTTAGCTTCAGTGCAAGGACTAGGACCCAGGCAGGAGTTATTTGGAGTTGTCAGGACCATATGTAGCCTTTCTCTTTCCTGGAAGTCCTCTAGGTGTTTTTTGCCTTCTCTTTTCCTGTAAAAGGGTGGTGAAGTTGATTCCAACCCCCTACTCGCAGAGGCTGGAGATTGGGGAGTGGGGGAGGGAAATGTGCTGAGAAAAGTGGGAAGCTCTGGGTTCTAGGAAAGCGCCAGGCAGCCTTCTAGGAACTCCTTGGTCCTTTCACTGAACGGGAAAGGGGCCATGCTTTCTTCCTCTACCCCAGGCTGGTGCCCAAAGCAGGCGTGAGTCGTACCTTCAAGGGCGCACTGGGTGGTCCGTGCTCTCTGCAGTGCAATCCCTGGCCCAAGCAATTTGCGATAGTGAGAAATGAGATTCACCCGAAGCAGGGAACGGCCACTCTTACAAGGCAGTTGAGTAGCCCAGGTTAACATTAGTCGGTTTGTTCCATTCAGGAACAAAGGCTCTGTTTCACTTTTTGTCTTTGGAACCCGTGAGCCCAGCGTGGTATCTGCCGCAGGAAAGGTGCTTAATAAGCGCAGCGTCTTCCACTTAAGACGCACTTCATAAATGCTTGTTGATTGGTTAATTGATTGTGTATTAGAGTCGTAATGGGCTGGATTTGGAGTTAGAAGATCTGGGTTCATAGGCCAGTTCCATAACTTCCCTGTATCTCTTTCCTCATCTGTAAAATGAGCGGGTTCCCTTTCTGAATCTGTGCGATCTTATGACCCTCGACGTGTAGTCTTTTGTGTGTATGGCCTAGAGGGAAAAGAGATTGAAAAGGAACAAGGGGTCAGAGAAGAGGGTCTGCATGTAAAGGCTTTTTATAACCTTACTCGAATCTATGTTAAAAGGCTTATTGTACATTATGCCCCTTCGTGCACTCCAGGAGTCTAGCTTCTTGCAGATTTTTACACCTGACTGTCTTCTCCCTACTTTTGCTCAGACCCCCTTGGAATGCACTCCCCCCCCCCCCACTTCTGCCTTTGACAGTTCTAGTTTCCTTCAAGTCTCATCTCAAATACTACCTTCCACACAAGGCATCTCCTAATTTCTGGTCCCCTTTCCCCACCCACTTGCAGCCAAACCCACAAAATCACTTTTTGACTTATATACTGTATATACTCATAATTGTGCACAGTATCTCCCCACCTTGAATGGAAGGTCCTTGAAGGCAGTTTCATGTGTGTATATGTTCAGCATATACTAGTATTGAATAAAATATTTATTAAGCTCTCTCCATCTCTCCCTCCCTCCCTCTCTCTCTCTCCCCTCCTTCCTCTCTCCCTCCCTTTTTCTTCTCCTCCTCCTCCTTCTCTCTCTCCCTCCCCTCCCCCCTTTCTCTGCTTCTTTCTTTCCCTCCCTCTCCCCTCCACCTTACTTGAGTGTGTGTATGCATACATGTATGTGCCACCTATATGAACTGTCAAAGGGTAGAGGATGAGGCATTAAGGGCAGAATATTCAGTGAGGGATAAGCAAAATCAGGAGACCAGGACTCAAATCCCAACTCTGCTACTTGCTACTGTGTGACCTTTAGAAATAATAAGTTTCCATCTTTGGGCCTCAGTTTCCCTCTCCATACAATGAGAGGTTGGATTAAATGTCATCTGAGGTGCTTTCCAGCTCCAAAACTAATAAAAACTGATGGTTTCATGGTTTGCAAATCAGTTGAATACATGATTTCATTTGAGCCTCATAACCACAGTGAAGGGAGTGGATGCTACAGTTTATTTTTATCCCCATTTTGCTGATGGGGAAATTGAGAATCATCAAGGTTAGGTCACTTAGGGTGGAACAGCTAATAAATATTGGAGGGGGGATTTTAAGCCAGGTCTTCCTGGCTCCAGGTCCAGCAATCTAGATTGTCTAGCCCTGTGGTGGGGAACCTGTGGCCTTGAGGTCACATGTTCCCTATCCCTGGTTAGCCAGTTGGAGGCCCAGAGAAGATATGAACCTTTTCTGAGTTTTGAAGAGTAATTTGTGGAAGGCCTGGAAATGGACAAGAGTGGAGTAGGGAGAGAGGAGGGAGAGAAAAATCATTCTCCTTGGAGGGTTGGGGGGAGGTTTCAAATCCAATATCTTCGGGAAAATTCGAAATCGGTATTCCTATATCCCCTCTACCCACCCCCACCCCCTTTCCAGGAAACTGGAATAATAACTCAATTTTGTAGCACTTTGCTCATAGCCTAGTTGAAAAGTAGTGCCAAAATATTCAAATACACAAATGAGAATCTGAAAAAAAAATTTACATGAAACCAACACTTTCTGCTTTTCAGTTTGACTTTATGTACATAGTAATCATAATAAAACCATCCCATGTTTCTGGGGTAGCCCCTTCTGTGCTCATTTTCCTGATTATTTTTAAACTAGAGATGTAGTGATAGTTATTTTTGTTGTTCTCACCCAAGTGCGCCGATAGATCTATAATCCCCAAGGACTGCAGATGGAAGCCCATCCAGGCTTGCCTGTTCTATGGAACTCTGGTCCATCTCCTTTCATAGGTACGACATAGGGAGTTCTATTCAAAGTTGGAGTGGCCTTTCTTGATTTCTCTAGACAGCCCAAGGGTAAAAGCCCAGTATGCTGGGGGGCCATCTGTCATCCCTCACCCTTGCTAGATAACCAGCCCTTCCTACCATATTCATCTCTTTGATGCTAATTTGTACACTCCTGTTCTTTGGGGTTCCTCTTTGGTAATAAATTGTGGTCTGATCACCTTGACTATGCCAGAATTTTTAGAGAGAGAGAAAAAAATTTCAAGTGAAATGAACAACTTCCCACTGAGATTCAAAACTCTGGACTTAACCCTTTCAAGCCTGGAAATTCCTCCCTTCCTGGAAAGTGATTGCTGATAAATAGTGCCTCTGCATCCTTCTACATCTAGGACTGGCTCCATTCTTTTCATCCTGGGATCCTCCAACGGTTGCCAGGCCACCACCGCTTCCTTTGTGCACAGGCACTCGGCCCCTTTTCCTAGTTCTGCAACCATAATCAAAATAACTCTCTTGGGTCCTGGGATAGGGTCAAGTGACTGAATAGGTAGAGCACTTGGCCTGAAGTCAGGAAGACCTGAGTTCAAATGTGGCTCACACGCTAGTTGTGTGAGTCTGGGCAAGTCACTTAGCTCTGTTTGCCTCAGTTTCCTCATCTGTAAAATGTGCTGGGGAAAGAAATGGCAAACCATTCTAGTATCTTTGCCAAGAAAATCCCAAAAGGGGTTCCAAAAGAGTCAGAAACGACTGAAAAACAATTACATAACTTTCCCTTTGGCTCCACCTCACCCCCCCCCCCCCAGTTTTCCAAAACAAAATACTCTTCCCTAGCCATCAATCTCCTAAACGTGTAGTCTCTCCCAATTAGAATGTAAACTCCTTAAGGGCAGGGATGCTTTTGTGTTTGGAGCGGCAGCACTTAGCATAGTGCTTGGTACAAGGCCAGGGCTTAATAAATACTTTTTTCATTCATTTATTAATTCATTCTCCCCTCCATTGTGCTCAGTGCGACACCACATTTCTTCAGAAACTGTTTTATTCCATATCAAAGAAGGTTGTTGTTTACGTATTGGAGTCTCTGGGTTGTTTTCCTATTTGCCTGAGGAGAAAATAGAGTCTCAGAGAAATTAAGCAAGAAGTACCAGTATTCGAATCCAGTCGGTGACCTGAACTAACTACGATCCTGAATGTCACCTAACATCTCTGAGCCTCAATTTCCTGCCTTGTAAAATAAGGAAGATAACAAAGCCTCCCTTTTATTCTTTGGTGAGGATAAAATGAGATAATAATGTACATAAAACACTTTGCAATGCTTTAAAGCTCCATACAAATATTTTATTTTTTTTTGCAAATATTTCATTTTTCAAAAAAACGAAAAGAGCTATTTCATTGCTTCGAGGAAATCCCGAGAGGAAATTCCTTCCAAAAATGCAGATAGGAGCCATCTCAGTCATCTGTGAGTGGCATGTGGGTACGTGATTTGCCCAGGGTCTTAACTGCCTTTATCAATCTGAGTCGAGACTCGAACCCACTTTTTTCGGACTCCTAGGTCGGTTCTCTATCTCTTTCATCTTGTTTTTGTGACTTCCACAGTTAACTCTAGTGCAAGAGCCGGGAGTAGAGCTCAGGACTCTTTGACAGAGATACGGCGAAGCAGGCACTATTTAAGGACTGCCTTTGTCACGTAACGCGCTGGGCTGTGAGCTCAAGAGCTCTTAAGGGCCAATTCGCCCCAGCTTGGAGAGAATATGAGGCCAGGAGGGGCGCCAACATCATAGCATTTGTAGCTAGGGGATCCTTCATGCTTTCCTGCAGATGTGGAAACTCAGACACTCGAGAAGGCGGAATAGTTGCTTAAGGCCACACACTAGTTCTAAGCAGCCATCCCCAACCGAAGTCCCTTCTTTAGTTCATTCATTCATTTAATCAATTACCGTCACCCTCCTCCACTTCCTCCTCACTGGGGCTGGTGGGGGTGGAGTGGTGAATCACCTAGTTCTAGAAGAAAGCAGCCAAAGGGGCGGGGTGAATGGTTTGAGCCAGATCAGAGTGGTTTCCAGGGGCCAGCGGTAGTCCATGGCCTCCAGGTAGCTGCAGACTGGGGTCTGGGCCCGCTGCGTCCAGAAAAGCAGAGAAGCGCCCAGCCCAATGATATACCGGGTAGATGCAACCAGTCAAGACTCTAGATCCTTATCCCCGTTTCAGACAGGTGAGATAACTCATTGCGCGAAACTAATCTCTCCTCTCACCCCACCCCCCATGTATAAATAATGGCGATGAACAAAGGTAGTGTGATACAATGGCTAGCGCAGCCGGCCTTGGAATAGGAAAACCTGTATTCAGACCCAATCCCTGACATCTACCGGTCACATTTATGTGACCCAGAGACAGTCACTTAACCTTTCTGGGTTCTAGGCTACTCTCTAAGACAAGCGGCAGAGTAAATGCCAATCTACCATAGTCGGTCAACTAGCGTTTATTAAATACTTACGTACCAGGCACTGTGCTAGGAGCTCGGAACACAAAGAAAGGCCAAAAAAACCCAAAAAACAAAAAACAAAAACAGTCCCTGTCCCTAAGAAGCTTACATTCGAACGGAGATCACATAAATAACAAAATAAATTTAATAATTTTATTATTTACATTTAATTTTAAAAATAACGCATACGGTAGCTGACTTGGGGTCCCCGAGGATCTAGGTTTAACTCCCACCTCAGACACTTAGCTGTATTACCTCGGCCAATTAATCAGTTTTTTTCTGTGCCTTAGCTTCCTCATTTAGTTTGTAAATGACAGGTTTTTTTTTAAAGCAACTACTTCTGTTTTAATTAATTAATTTAGTTTTCAACATTCGCTTCCATAAAATTTTAAGTTCTAAATTTTCTCTCCTCTTTCATCTCCCCACCTCCTCTAGACCGGCGTGCAATCAGAAAAAATGACAGGTTTTTTACTAGATCCCTTCCGGCTCTAAATCTATATATATAATCTTCAAGAAACAACAACCTATATTTCCGTATCTGGAGTCTTCACAGAAGGAGGGACTCATAGGTCCTGGTTAAAATAATTGTAAGAATAATAGCCTCATGTTTATATCGCTCTTAAAGAGAGATTGCAGTTGTTTCGCTTTAGAGAGTGCTTTACCGTTGGTGTTCCGTACCTGTGTTTTTTAATAGCGAGGAAAACTCCTCCGAGGGCTTCTCTTATTTTATATATTGGTCCCACATTTTTCTCAACGCGTCACACAAAGGGAAACGTGCCTCTAGCCCAGACGTGGAATTACTCCTCACCGCCCCACAAACACACAATGTAGCAACACTTAGAGATACCGAAGATAACATCACAAAATTCGCAACAACACGTCCAATGTGATTCAATCCACAAGTACAAAATAAGACACAATCTATGATTTGAAATAACGCTAGTACAAAGACGCGCGGGTGCGAAGGGCTTTCCAAAGTTGAGGTAATGCCTAGACGCAAACGAGATAGGGCCACAAAATGAGATCCAGACCGATTTGAAACACTCGACCTCCAAGAGACGGACTCGCGCTCGTCTGACGTGCCCTGTCCCACGTGCAGTCACTCTCTGGTGGGACTTCGGGCCCTCTGGGCCCCAAACGCCCATTGGCAACTCTTGTTTCAGTTCTTTTGTTAGTCAATTTCCCAGACACTACGGGCACATTTACACACAAAAGGGTCCCTCAGGTCACGAGATTTATTTTGTCCTCCAACAGCGCTCCAGTGGAGCGGGAATTCCCCTCTATAACACATATTTGTTGTATTGAATTGACAATAATCGTTATTTCTCCAAGGATCGGTTCCGGGATCACCCTCATCCCAAGAGTCTTACTGTTAATACTCTGTCTAGCCTCGATTTACCTCAATGCTCCTCTCCCACGCTAGAAGGAAAGCTGCAGGAGGGCAGGCACTGTTTTTTTCTTTGTATCCCCAGAACCTAGCTAAGTGTCCGGCCTCCTCAGGCCCTTTGTTGATTGACTGAAACATCCAAAAGTTAAATGGGATGCCGCGTTAGGTAGTGAGCTCCTTGTCATGAGAGATCCACCAGGAAAGGCTGGACTGCTACTCTATCTGGGATGTTGTCCAGGGAACGCTGCCTGCCAGTTTGTCTTGTGAGCTGCTCGAGGGTAGTAACCGTTTCGCTTTTGTCTCTCTCTCCCCGGGCCTAGCCCAGAGCCTGGCATCTAGTAGGTACAAAATAATTGCTGATCGAATTGAGATCGAACTGAATGAACCTCGCTGCCCCGCCGGGCACTAGCATCGCCGCCTGCGCCCAGAAGCAAGCCCTTCGGGGACTGGCAGGGAACTCGCCGTAGCCAGAGCTGGGCTAGGCAGGGCCGAGTAAGGTGAGGTCAGGGGAGGGCAGCAGTTCCCGAGCTCCCCAACGGGACTGTGGGAGCTTGAGGCCGGTGGGAGGGGACCTCAGGCCTACTCCCCGGACGCTGGCAACTTCTGGCCTTCCTCCCACTCCCCCGCCGCCTCCTCCTTCTCCTCCTCGGGCCGCCTGGGGCGCGTAAAGCGGTCCCGCGCTAGCAGCCCGCCAGGCTAGAAAAGGCGGCTAATGCCTGCTACGGCGGCAGCGGACGCTCCCCTCCCCCTTCCCCCTCCCTTTCCTTCCTCCCCCTCCCCCCTCCCCTTCCCTCTCCTGTACCCCACGCCTGCAGTCCCTTATAACCAGCCTCGCCGATCCGACCTTCTTGTCTGCCCTTCGGCCACAGCCCCCACCCGCCCCCAGCCCCTGTCTCCCCAGACTGGCTATTGCGGGCGTCAGCGCGCGCCCCGTTGCCTAACTAGGGTTCTTCCTCTGCCCCGCCGGCAGCCAAAGGGTTAACCTCCGGCTAGCCCGCGCGTCCAGCAGGGGTAGAGGAGGGCACGGGTGGGGTGGGGTCCCGCGCGAGTCTGGGGCCCGGGGCCCAGATACAGAAGGCTAGCCAGTGCAGCCAGCCCCGGGGCCAAGCCGCGCGCGAGTTCGAGTCATCTATACCAGAGACAGGCAGCAAGGCACCTACGGGCAGCCAGTTCCGACAGCACCAGGTAGGGGAGCCAGGGCCGGTGGAGGGAGGGAAGGAGGGGAAGTGAAACCTGCGCCGAATCAGGGTTCGGACTCAGGCTCTGTATGGGGTTGCGGGTGTATGTAGAACTCTGGGGACTGACCGGGCAGCGCGCAACATTTGGAACCAGGGGACCCTCGCTCTGCCACTCACTGTGTGACCTTGAGCTCTCTATCGCTGAAAGCATTTTTAAGGAACCTACTATGTGCCAAACTGTGTCTCGAGCTGGGGAGCCAAATACAAAAGTGAAACACTTCCTGTCCTCGAGGACCTTACATCCTACTCAGCAAATCACTTAAACTTTCTGAGCCTCGGTTTCCTTTTCTGTAAAATGAAGGGATTGGGCCGGATGAAGGGGCTGACAAGGCCTGTTCCAGCTCAAAATCTAGGCTGCTGTGATTGTAGCCACCTCCAAAGCTCTATTCAAGGTTGGACCGAGAGCACATGAGTCCCCCGGGGCTCGTGGGGAGCAAGAGATCCCACGAGGTAACAGACTACTGTCTCCTCCTTCCACAGGGTCATGGGAGGGAAGGAAATCTGAATTTTGCTGCCACTCTAAACTCGAAAAGGCCATTTTTGGTGTCAGCGGTGCCTTTGAGTTGGAGGCTCAGTGTTTATCCAAGGATGAGGGACTTTGGGACCAAAGTGGGGTCAGAAGCTCCAAGACTCCTTCCTATTTGCAGAGAAAAGGATGTGTGTGAAGGGGGAACAACTTTTGTTGGACCTTTAGAGATGAAGAGAGGGTCTGGATCTGTCATAACAGCTGGAATGGAGGGTGGGGGTGGAGTAAGCCCGAGTCAGAAAAAAGACCCTACTTCCCTGTGGCCCTCCCCCCACACGCCTCTTTAAGACACCAAGTATAGGCTAGGTGCTAGGGATGCAAAGACAAAAACAAAGCCCCTGCCCTCTGAGGGCTTACATTGGATTGGGCCAGCACAAAATGTAGAAATAGAACAAAGAAAATCGAAGAGGGAAGGAGTAGGAACGACTTTGGGGAAGGGAATCAGGGAAGGCTTTATGGAAAAGGAGTGGAATATAACCTTAAAGGAAAAAAAAAAGGTTCTGTGAGTCAGAGATGAGGAGGAAGTACATCCCAGGAATTACTCTGATGCTGCTGCTGATAATATTAATGGCTAACATTTATATCTCACTCGTTTGAACCTCACTATGACCCTTTAAAGAAGATACGTCTGTTATTCTAATTTTACAGATTGGGAAACTGAGACCTAGGGAAGCTAAGTCACTTGCCCAAGGGCACACAAGCTGATGACCAAGTCCAGTGTTTTGGCAATCACAACCCTGGGTCCAAGTGGTCTGAGTTACTCCCATCTCGCCGCAGGCCCAAGGAAAGAAAAGGAGAAAGGGCAGCTAGGTGGCACAGTGGGTAGAGCTCTGGCCCTGGAGTCAGAAGGACCTGAGTTCGAATTTGTCCTCAGATACATGATAGTAGCTGTGTGACCCAGGGCAAGTCACTTAACCCCAATTACCTTATAAAAAAAAAGGAGAGGAGCATGGGTTTTAAAAAAAACACAGGGGCAGCATGTGGCAATTGCAGTAATTTTTTTTTCTTCATTTCTGTAGTGCATTAAAATAACCTACTAGATTGAGGTTAGGAAGAGCTGGGTTCAAATCTCACTGGATACGCTACTTATATGACCAAAGGCAAGTCACTTATTTAACGTCTGTCAGCCTCAGTTTCCTCATCTGTGAAATGGAGATAATGTATTCTCCTTATAAGGCTGATGTGAGGGGCTCCATAGAAATAATGTGTACAGCTCTCTATGTATATGTTAGTTATTGATACTAATTCACTTTTACCTCAACCCTGTGAGGTAAGTAGTTCAGTATTGTCTGACTCTTCCTGATTCCATTTAGGGTTTTCTTGGCAGAGGTACTGGAGATACTGTCATTTCCCTCTCCAGCTCATTTTTACAGATGAGGAAACTGAGCCCAAAAGGGTGACGTGACTTGCCCAGAGTCACACAGCTAGGAATTGTCTGAGAAGATTTGAACTCAGGTCTTCCTGACTCTAGGCCAGGCACTCTATCCGTTGCACCAAGTAGCTGCTCCAGAGGTAAGTCGTAGGTACTATAAATAGCATCATTACTCTTTCACAAGTGAAGAAACTGAGTCAGCTGAGA